CAAAACCAACAAAAGAAAAAAATAGATAAGTTGGACATCATTAAAGTTAAAAACTTTGTATTTCAAAGGGCATCATCAAGAAAATGAAAAGACAGTCCTCAGAATGGTAGAAAATATTTGAAAATCATATATTTGGTAAGTCTTTTATCTAGAATATATAAAGTACAATTACAACTCCATAATAAAAAGACAAATATAACAATCCAATTTAAGAATGGGCAAAGGATCCAAATTGACATTTTCCAAAGAAAATGTTAGGTCCTCTCAGGCATTTGAGTTGCCTCACAGAATAAAGTTATAAATTTAAAAAACAAAATCACAGTAAATTCATTAAAAAGCAATAAGTATATTAAATAAAAGTGATAGTACTAAATCAAATTCACTTAAACATTCAAACTCTTCACAGACTTAACATTATCAAAATACTTTCTAATTAAAGTCTTCATCTTTCTAATAACACAAATAAAAACACAGGTTATAATGATGATTATAAAACATTTAGTGAATCTTTTTTTTTAATAGTATTGGTCAGTTTACTTTACTGGACCCAACCTTTTTCCTCTCTCTTCCCACAGCTGCAAAGGCTGTTTGTTATCCAAGCCAGGTGCAGAGATGTGACCTCAGATCCGTGGTCTGTGAACCCAGGACCCAGGATGCACGGTGCTGATGCCAACCTGGGGCCTGCTCATGTGCCGTCTCTCATTTTAGAGTGAGGGACTCTCTAAGCCCATGGGTCCCCATTCCCAATCTCAGCCTTCACCTCTTCTATGGCATTTAATTTTCTGATTCGAACTGAAGAGATTCTGAGTCCTATGTGTGCTCCATCCCCTAGTCCCCTCATGGTTTAGGGCTTTTCCCCTTCTTTACGCCTGCCTGTAAGAAGGTGTGTTCAAGTATTCTGAAACTCCTCGATGACGCCCCTTCAAACCTTTAAAACGCCTTGCCAATATAAGGAAATAAACACTTAAAATGCTGCTGCCATTATGATTTGGTCAATATTTATTAGCTCCTTCATATCAGTTCTCAATGAACACTTGTTGAATCGGATGTAAAAGAGTGAATCACAATGTTAATAGCTGTATTTTGGGCAATAGTTCATCTGGAAGAGAAAGCAAACATGAATGGTAACAAACATGCCAAAGGGAACAGTGATGAGAAAGACTTGGCTGTTGAAAGTTAGTAAATGGTTACTGTGGTGAAAAATACATGGTGTTGGCACATAACTGACAGGCTGCATAAGGGAACAGAAATGCAAGTCATGAAATTGATACTGACATGTAAGATTGTGTCATTTATACTCAAGGCATGAGCACAAATCAGTGGAAAAGCAAATGGTCTATTAAACAAATGATGTTGAGATTATTGCCTATTTGGGGGAAATATGTGAAGTTTGGTTCACACAACTCACTAAAGTAAATTTCAAATAAATTAAAGAGTGCAATGGGAAAAATAAAAACTAAGTGCACATATATCTGATCTCTGGAAAGAAGAGATATTCTGAGCACAAAAATGAGGACAGAAATGATCACAAAGAAAAAGACTGAGTATGGATTTATAAAAATTAACAATTTCTACATGATGAAAATATGACAAACAAGGAGAGAGAGAGAGAGAGAGAGACTAAGATTATATATATGATTATATATATATATATATAATCATACCCATTATAGGTAAATATTTTCTACATTCCCCCCCTTTCACCACCCCAACTAAAAGGATCATAAAATGCATCTACTGCTGATATGGAGCCAGGAACCAGGAAAGGAAAGATAAGACATCAAATGCCCAAAACATAAGATTTTAACAAAGATTTTGGAAATCTGTCCAGAAGTGGAGAAAGCAAGCCAAAAACTCCGCGTAACAACACTGGCAGGATAAAACCCCACCGGCGGGAGACAATGGGAGCTCAACATCGTTTGAGCCGATACGCTTTTCTGTTGACATGGACGAATAGGCCAAGGCGTGCGTAAGTACGTGACATAAACTGTCTAGAATATATGTGTCCTTGTAAAGCACCATCGGTAACATCGTTGGCCAGGATTCTCGTAACCATTATTTTTATGCGTTTCCAGCCTCATGACAGATGTTTACAATAAATGGCTGAGGAGCTGCCCGTTTTTCTTTTCAATCATCTTTTCTCAGTGAACGTCTTGCCACCCTGCCACTATAGAATGTATTTCTATCACAGATATCGGTGTCTCCAAGTGACACCGGCAAGGCACACAGGTCATTCTATCGATGGCTCCCTTCCCTGACTACTTTTGTGTAACAGAAATGTTGGTACAATTTAATGTACAAGATCCCTTTATCTGAAATGTAGAGAACGGAATTAAACAAAGCAACTGTTTCCTAGAGAAAGGGTAAGAAAACAGCCAGTGTAGGTGAAGACATGAAGCCAAGTTTAAAAATGTACAAAGCCTCTCAATGCCAGAGAAGGTCCTCCATGAGCACAAGCTAGAAGGGACCGCAACGTGTTTATTTGCAGAGATTGTGCAAAAAGCTGGGTTTTCTGTTTTATCCCACAGGCGGCACTACACCAGCACCCTGCCTGTGAACACCAGCGGAGGGGAAAGAGAGCCGGGAGCCATCTAGACCACTTCCTGTAGCAGCGATCATGGGACCCATTTTTTGTCTGTGTTTGATTGTGGCCTTTGAGAACCTCACTCTCTCACAAACCATAGCAACACAGGACCACACACAGGAAGGCACTTCGTCAAGGGTATTTGTTGATGCTGATTCAAACCATTCTTCCTAGAGGTAAATTCATTTATTCATTCGCTCATTTACTTTGTCAGTAAGTGTTTTGGGGATATCTATCCTATGTCAGGCCCTGTGCTTGGTACTGGGGATTTAATGGTTAAAAAAAATACATGGACCCTGTTTTTATGGTCCTTATGGTTTAGTGGAGGGAAGAGAGATTACTGAAATGCTCATATTAATGAAATAATCATGGACTATGGTAACTCAAAGGAAAAGTATAGAAGCCATATACCAATACAGACATCAGAATCCAGGTAGAAAGCCTGTATAAATATGGACTACATTCTGTACAGAACGAGATAGGAATTGTCTAAAATGTGAAAATCTACCCTGTGCATTTCTCTTATGTTATTAGGAGTATCTGTGGTACTATTTAAAATCACCTCCCAAACCTAGTACACTGCTGGTGGGAATGCAGACTGGTGCAGCCACTGTGGAAAACAGTATGGAGTTTCCTCAAAAAATGAAAAATGGAACTTTTGTTTGACCCAGCGATCCCATTTCTGGGAATATATCCTAAGAATCCTGAAACACCAGTCTGAAAGAATATATGCACCCCTATGTTCATAACAGCATTATTTACAACTAGAGGCCTGGTGCACGAAATTCTGGCATGGGTAGGGTCCCTCGGCCTGGCTGGTGATCAGGGCTGATCAGGGCCTTTCGTCTGCTGTCTGGGCCTTCCTTCATTCCATGCTGCCCCTTGGTGGTCAGCGCACGTCATAGCAAGTGACCAAACTTCCAGTCTCCCAAACTTCTGAGGGGACACTTTGCCTCTTAGCCTTTTGTGTATATACTAGTGGCCCAGTGCGCAGATTCGTGCACATTGAAAGCAAATTAATTAGAAGAAATATTTTAATATCACAGCAAGCTAACCCATGGCCGATTCTGTGAGGAATTGGGCTCCCTCCTCCCTCCTCTCTGGGTCCGGGGTGCAGGTGAACTAGATTCGGGGCTGACAGGGCCCCAGCAGCAAGCTAACTCACAGCTGGCAACCTAACCTACCAGTTAGAACATCTGCCCCTGGTGGTCAGTGCGCATCATAGCTACGGGTCGAACGGTCACTTAGGCTTTTATATATAGACTAGAGGCCCGATGCATGAAATTCATGCACGAGTAGGGTCCCTAGGTCTGGCCAGCAATCAGCCGGGGCCTTCCTTCATTCTGCGCTGCCCCTCGTGGTCAGCACATGTCATAGCTAGCAGTCATACTCCCAATCAGTCGAACTCCCAAGGGGAAAATTTGCTTATTAGCCTTTTGCTATATAGGATAATCAAGGTCTGGAAACAGCCCAAGTGCCCATCAGTAGATGAGTGGATAAGAAAAGACGTGGTACATATACACAATGGAATACTATATGACTGTAAAAAAGAAGGAACTCTTATCCTTTGAGACAGCATGGCTCAGTGAAATAAGCCAGTCAGAGAAAGACAAATATCACACGATCTCATTTATATGTGGAATCTAATGAACAAAAGAAACTGACAAACAAAATAGGACCAGAGTCATGGAAGCATGAACAGACTGACAGATCTCAGAAGTGAGGGGTGGGGGACAGGAAGAGATTAAAAAGGGAATATGCATATATGGACACAGACAATAGTGTGGTAAAGGTGGAGAGGGGAGGGGAGATATGGGGGGCGCCTGTAACAGTGCCAACAATAAAAAATAAATAAATTCAGCTCCCAGTCCCACCATGATAACCTATAGATACAATAACCAACAGATACAGAATAAGTGTCCCAGTCATTACTCATCAAACCTCACACTTCAGCCAAAGTCTAGCCTGGGTTCCGAATTTCCCCTCCTAAATGGCTTTCCTCCCTTAGCCTCTTGCCCTCAAAATGCAGTAACTCCACCAGAGGCTGCAATAATCTACAACTTAAATTTCCCAGGCCTGTTTTCTTCGAGGCAGGTTCCTTCTTATGGACCAGTCAGATCCTCTGACGTTGTCAGAGCTGACATGTCAGTTTCTCACCCGATTACTCAAGGATCTCTGGGACATGCTCTGAGCTCCTTTCGGTCCCGCCTCCCCTTGGCCCCTGCACAAATCCTGGAGGCAAAGGAGTATCGCTACACCCCTGGAAGAGATATGCCTCCCTCTCTTCCCTGCCTCTCTCCTATGCCTTTGATCCATGCTATTCAGGCATCTGAAAGGGCCTTCTGTCTTATCAACAAATGATGTCTTCCTTAAAATAAAACCACCAACTTTTTAGGTGTTGAAAGTCCTTTGTTTAGTAAAAAATAATAACAAACCTTGATAGTAAAAATAGTGGTTTAAAGATACTTGCTTGGCAATGCCAGTCCTCCCATTGACAACATCTCATTACACCCATCTTCCAAACTGTAGGGCTGGGGAAGCACAGTCCTGCAGCGAAGTCTCCCTTCACAGGCCCAGGGCCTGACTCCTCGGGGGAGAAAATGAGCCCACACCTGGGAAGCCCTTACTAGTCCGAAGGCCCCTGTGAGTCAGGGACCTGGAGGATGGGAAAGAGCCCTTTCACCTGTTTGTTGAGATTTGTCCTCAGAGCTCTGGTTTCCTGTCTGCAGACCTACATCTTCTCCTGGCCATTCACTGGACAGATGCGGTCTCCCCACAGGGCTGTGGTCCCGCCCTGCAGGCGTCTATGGAACATCAACCCTAAAGCATGACATGGGGAAGGGAAAATTATCAATTTATAAAATGGCGATAACAGTTCTGAAATACTCACATACGCTGCTTTTCTTTATACAGGGGCAGGCAAAAGTAAGTTAATAATAATAATAATAATAATAAATATAATAATTAATAAATAATAATACAGGAGTAAACTCTGTTTCCTGTACTCACACTGTAGACCTACTTTTGCCCACCCCCGTATTTCCTTATACTGACGTGCCCCCCCCGCCCCCCACACACACACACTTTTGAGAGCTTTCCATTGGCCTGGAGGAGGTTTGGGATTGTTACAGAAGGAATACTAGTACAAACAAAAAGAGAAAGGGGAAGAAAAAGTTAAGTATCAGCTTCCAAATAGGATTTTAGGATTTTTCAGCCACCTTATCTTAAAGGCTAAGCTATGTAAGAGTGAGAAAAGATGTTCTAGATTTTTTTCTTTCTCCTGTTGGCATATCACAAACTAACCCGATCACCGTTTTACACGGGGAAGTCCTGGCGTGGGCAGGAAAAGAAAGAGGAACATCCCCCGTCCGTCCTGGTGGAATACACAGGGGAAAGGGTGAGAGAGGTGGCTGGGGAGCGTCAGAGGTGACTGATCCCCGGCTCAGGATTCCACCCACGGCGGGAGGTGTGCTGAGCAGGCGGAGGAAGGCCAGGGCCTCTGCAGACTTCTCTGGGCCTCGGGGAGGGGCTCCTCCTGCAGGTTGGCGGGCATCGCCCTGGGAGCGGCTGTATCTGGGTTGAACTCAACAGCACAGCATGATTCTGCAGGGAGGGAGAGGGAATGTCACTTCCTGGGCTGCCCCCAGGACCAGTAGGGAATGAATTGCACCAAGAAGTTCTCACCTGCTCCTGATTAGAGGCCAGGGAAGTAGCTGATTTGACAGCCAACAGGCCTCCAGGCATCAGCGATCACGAGGGAGGGAAAGGTGAGTCAGCAACAAGACTCGTGGTGGACATTCTGGGCAAGAGTCAGATGGGGTTGTGGGGGCTGTAGCGGCAGCCAGAGCAGAGGCTGAGTCATGAAGAAGCACCAGCAGGCCCTTCCAACCAGTAGGAACCTCAGTAGATAGAGCCTCAGCAGCGGGCACTCACAGGACTCGGGGGGTGGGGGGGATGAGTTGGATATAACCCAGGGGGTGTCCCGGCCACAACCACAGCAGCAAGCAGCCAAGATGCAGAGATGCTAATGACCTGAGAGTCCCATCTTCTCCCGGCGCTGAGGGGAGCGCATGAGCCACAACGGCCACCCAGAACCCAGACACCATCTCGCAGAGACAGAGAGGGAGGATGCAGATATCTAGACACTAAGCATGTTTTACATAAAGAGGTGGACCAGCCCTAACTGGTTTGGCTTGGTGGGTAGAGCGTCGGCCCGCAGACTGAAGGGTCCAGGGTTCGATTCCAGTCAAGGGCGTGTACCTTGCTTGCGGGATCGATCCCCAGTAGGGGGCATGTAGGAGGCAGCTGATCAGTGTTTCTCATCAATGTTTTTAACTCTCTATCCCTCTCCCTTTCTTTCTGTAAAAAATATATATAAATATAAAGAGATGGACCATTTACCTTACATGTCTATTTATTTTTAATGTATTTTTTATTGATTTCAGAGAGTAGGGGTGAGGGAGATAGATAGATAGATAGATAGATAGATAAACATCAATGATGAGAGATAATCCTTGATCAGCTGCCTACTGCATACCCCACAACCTGGGCATGTGCCTTGACTAGGAATCAAACGTTGACATCTGATTTATAGGTTGACACTCAACCACTGAGCCCCCCCCCAACCGGGCCCTAACATGTCTGTTTAAACTGTGGTGCCAGAGTATTTCCCAGCTATTCAGTAGTTGGAGGCTCCTAAGGAAGATAAGAATAATTTTTAGAGAAATAAAGATGGTACATTTTCTCTGCACATGTGTGAGCAGGGTGAAAAAACCTGCCACCCTTCACACATATTGGCATTGCCAGCTTTTCCCGTCCTCCTCCTGCTACTAAATTTGGCGCCGCTTGGGCTGCTCGGTTCCTCCCATCCACCCACACCCAACTGTGGAGAAGAGCGTGGAGGGTCCAGACCAGATTTCTGGGATTTTCGATGCAGAATTGGGGACATGGGGAGAGGGAGAGAAGTGGTATTCGCCACATGGGTAGATTCTAAGGAGAAAAGAATAAAAAACAAGCTCCTCTTGCAAGAAGCCATGGAGAGCAGGGGCATGGATGTGTGCAGCCACATGGGGTGGGCGTGGGAGAGGGACAGAGAGAGATGCAGCAGGGAGCATGTTACTCAGGCAACAGAGTGAGGGATGGAATGGCCGGACATTCAAGGAAAGATTACATACTTGGATCTCATTTATATTCCTTGAGATTAAGAGTAGAATTTCTGCCCTGGCTGGTTTGGATAGAGTGTTGGTCTGCGGACTGAAGGGTCCCAGGTTCGATTCCAGTCAAGGGTACATGCCTGGGTTGTAGGCTTGGTCCAATGTGCAGGAGGCAGCCTATCAATGATTCCCTCTCATCATATCTCTCTCTTCCTCTCCCCTCCTCTCTGAAATCAATAAAAATATTTAAAAATGGGGAAAAAAGAGTAGAATTTCTATCAGGACTGCCTTCCATTGCCTCCATCACTTTGTTGAAGACCTGTCTCCTTCCTCCAGTAGCAGCAAATGGCAGGCAGGGCCACCAAGTGATGAATCAAGAGCATTGCCCATCAGGTGACTCATGAATGAACAACTTGGACTCTAAGAGACGGTTTCATAGTATCAGCACATAAAATATGCAAAAGTCCAGCTTGCAACAACTGGGATCATGCTTTGGGCTCCAATAACTGCCAAACGGTAGCTTAAACTAATGGGCATCTATTTTTCTCCCTCATAACAAGCCTGGAGGAAAGCAGTTCAAAGCTGGTGTAGAGGCTGGAAGATTTCAGGACAGGAATTCTCTTGGCCTTTTTAAAAACATACTTATTGTTGACACTACTACAAATGTCCCCATTCCCCCCTCTGCCCCGCTCCCGCGGGCCCCGCCCCCCTCCCCTAGCCTTTACCACACTATTGTCTGTGCCCACGGGCTATGCATACATATGTTCTTTGGCCAATCTCTTCGCCTTCGTTTACCCAGTCCCTCCCACCCGCCTCCCCTCTGACAGCTGCCAGCCTGTTCCATGCATCCGTGCCTCTGGTTCTATTTTGTTCATCAGTTTATTTTGTTCATTAGATTCCACACATAAGTGAGACATGGCACTTGTCTTTCCGTGACTGGCTTACCTTGGCCTTTTTGTTGTGGTCACAAGAAAGCAGCTGCGTTTCCAAACGTTGTGTCGTGTTTAATGAAGGAAGAAGGTAAAGGGGCCACAGAGAGAAGGCGTGGTGGCAGCCTCATCTGTCCCCTCTGCCGGGAAAAGCAAAAGCCTCCTGGAAGCCCAAGGAAGGCTCCCCCTCGTGCCTCGTTAGGTCGCATAACCAAGTCTGGCTGTCGGGGAGGCTGACACGGCAACATCTGCCTTTGCTGACCCCTCCACTGCAGGCAGCAGAGCAGAACAGCCCTCGTGGTTGTAAACCCAGTGGAGGCAGAGAGGCTCAAATTGACCTCCCGGGCCAGGGCTGTTGTTAGTCTTCTCCCAGGTGTCTTCTTCCTGCCTTCAGCCGAAAGGGGATGAGACCAGGAATTAGAAAATGAAGCCCCTGCCTGAGCCGGTTTGGCTCGGCGGATAGAGCGTTGGCCTGTGGACTGAAGGGTCCCAGGTTCTATTCCGGTCAAGGGCACATGCCTGGGTTGCGGGCTCGATCCCCAGTTGGGGGCGTGCAGGAGGCAGCCGATCGATGATTCTCTCTCATCATTGATGTTTCTATCTCTCCCTCTTCCTTCCTCTCTAAAATCAATAAAAATATTTTTTTTTTAAAAAAAGAAAAGAAAATGAAGCCCTGACCCTCTATAACATGAATAAGTATAGCATTTTTTTTTAAATCTAGTTTTATCTAAAAATGGGAAGTATCTGTTGCGTTAACTGCCATATAAAAGTCTCCTCCTGCCAGCCTGGCCTTTTGGACTCGTTGGAGGCCTGATGGGAAAAGAGATGAGATCGGAGCTGAGCGTTGACTTTGTGAGAGAGCCTGAGCCCACGCTGTGCTGTTTGGGGGCCTAGAATTGGGAAGATGGCCTTTCTTGTCAGCTTTGCTGACACCTGGAAGCTGAATAGGCTCTAAAAGGCCGTGTCCTCGGTTTGGGCCTGGACATTCTCACAGCAGGCACCACGCGGTGGTGAGAGTCCCTCAGGCTACCTCCTGGGTGTTCACAGCGACAGAGGGAAGCCAGAGCAGGAAAGGAAGACCATAACAAACCCAGCAGCGCCCTCTCTGCCAATGGCGAGTCTAACTGAACACTTGGGCACTCCTGGAAGGAAATCGTTGGGGAGAGGTTGAATTACTCAGGCAAGTGGACGGCAGAGGCAAGATCAAGAACTTTGGGTTAATGATGTTAGCAAGGTTTCACGTGTAGCCACAAGCTGATATGGTTGCCTGGAGATTCGACCATAATAACAAGTATGGAAACAACTTGTACTTTGAAATAAGGTTTTCCAACTTCCACAACAACCCACACAACAATGGGAGATGTTTAGACCTAGCCCGCCACTAGACAACAGTTCATGACCCGTGCGTGAGTTTCTCTCTCCTTGGTGTCTCTGCCCAAAATGAGCTTCTTGTGACACACATAGCCCCAGCCCCAGGGGCGGATTGCAAACCCCAAACCCTGCCTCCTTCCCTTTCTCCTTCCTCATCTGACTTTTGAGGTGTTGCCTTTTCTCTGCACCTAAGCTTCCTGCACAGCCCAGGCTCAGCCCAACATGGTTATGTGGTCGGCTCTGGTTTCCCTTGTGGGTTTTAAATTCAGAATGCTGAGTTCATTTATTAGCAGCTTCTCTCAACAGGCCACCCCATTCATTTGCTCATTCATTCATTCCTTTATTCATTCATCACTCATCAAACATTGAGTAAGTGCCTTCTGTGTTCTTTTAGGTTTTATATATGCACCAGAGAGGCAAAGACAAATAAAATATTGTCCTGTCTTTGAGAATCTTACGTACCAGCAAACAAGTAGGAATGGTAAGGGTGTTATGAGGATTCCAGTGAATGTATACGGAGTGTACTATAGTGGCACAAAGGAAGAAGAGGCCAGTTCTACGGGGCAAACTGGGAGGTAAATCGTGGGTATTACACATATTGAAATATCTTCAGTTGAACTTACTGTTGAAATATAAGTTGTATGGTGGTCAGAGTTGGCTGCCTACTCTACGGCTATGGGTTTCCTTTCTTTCACAGGAGAACTTGGGTTTGGCTTAGCTCTCGGGTCTCAGACAGCATGGCACTTTTGGAATGAGAGTCCATCTCCAAGTCCAGGGACTGTGTTCTCCTGCATGTGATCCTCTCCTGGGGATCAAGCCCGCAACCCAAGCAGGTGACCTTGACCAGAATCAAGCCCAGAACCCTTCTGTCCACAGGCCTGACACTCTATTCACTGAGCCAAACCAGCTAGGGCCAGATCCAGGGACTATTGATCAGGCTAAGATAATTATACATTTGTGATGATTATGAGTGAGATGTAAGGAAAATATACCTGGACAGGGTGGGAAGGAGCATGCAGGGAGAGGGAGTTGACTTCCAGAAAAAACTATCTGGGAAGGGTTCTCTGAGAGAGAGAGAGAGAGAGAGAGAGAGAGAGAGAGGAAATGCTTCTACCTGCCATTGGATGTGAAGATGTTTAGAGCTTCAGCAGTCATCTTGTGACCATGAGGCCCAAACCAAAAGAATTGCATAGAAGCTAACCCAGAACCTTGCAGTCATTGAGTTGATGAATTAATCATTCCTTGGACTGTGTCTCTAAGGACATTTTTCCCCCCAAGTTTTATTGTGATAAAATATACATAACATAAAAGTGACCTTCTGGGCCATTTTAGAGTGTACACTTCAGAGGCATTAACTACATTCATATTGTTGTGCAACCATTACCACCATCCATTTCCAGAGCTCCTTTCATCTTGCAAAACTGAAACTCTGCACCGATCAAACTGTAACTCTTCAATCCTCTCCTTGCTCAGCCCCTGACAACTACCATTCTATTTCTGTCTCTAGGATTTTGACTACTCTAGGAACCTCATATAAGTAGGATCATACATATTTGTCTTTTGTGACTGGCTTATAAACTCCCCTGCCTGGGTACACATCTGAATCAGGGAAGAGGGGGCACTTTTACTTTGAAAGAAGAAGTTTTGATTATTATTCTGCAGTGGACACTGTACATTACTGACACGAGTGTCTGGCATACACTTCACTGAGGGCAGGAGAGAAGTTGAGTCCCAGAGCGGGGGAAAGGAGGTGGAGGGGGAAATAAAGTGTTTTTTACCCACAGAATTCTGCTTATGCCATAAAATGACTAGTACAGGAATTGCTGGCTCCTCCTCCTCCAAACTGCCCTGCTGCTCCAGCCCCTTCCTCGTGGGTTCCTTTTTGTCTCTAGGAGCAACCTATGCCCTTCTTGGCTCAAACGAGATTCCCCCATGATTCTCTTCTGGCGCCAGCTTTTTCGCTTTGGGACTAACCCCTCAACCAGCCTTTTCACCTTCAAAATGCCATGGGAGCTGCTCAGAAGTTGCTCTCACCATCAGGAATGACTTCCTCTAAGAACTGGACTCACCCAAACCCTCAACACTGGGAAAGCTGCCAAGTGGGAGATGGCTCCTCCTAGGATGGCGCCGGAGTAGCGTGACTGGGTGTGTGTGCACTGCAGTGGGTCCACGTCAGGTCCAATGCCAGATGTCCTACTGACTAGCTGCCTGACCCGCGGAAACCTCCTCGCCCTTCTGCGCTCAGAGACATGGTCTCTAAAATAGGAATTGCAACAACAGCAAAAATAACAACAAACAATAATGATATCATCCACATACAGGGCCACAGACAGAGTACATGGCACTAGTACTTTCGGAGATGTTCCCCTTGGGCCTGCACTGTTGAATCTCTCCTTACTGATGTTTCCCCCACCCTGGGTTTTGCTGTCAAAGGGGGCTTGGGGCCAGCCCTGTAGCCAGTTCCTTTCTAGTTCCACTCAAGCCTCCTTTCTCCTACCTCAGGGTTTGGAAAAACACAAAGGCATTAATCTACCCAACCACCCTTCCACTGTCCTCCCATGGCATGGAGAAGAGGACTGAGAGGTGACAGGTTGGTGTCTAACCTCCAGTGAGTGCAGCCAGCTGGGTCTCCAGCCCCACTCTCCTTTGCTGGAGGCGCAAGTTCAAATGTGTGTCAACCAGGTGAGCGGGAGGGTTCTCCAACTCAGGAGACCTTGGCTGTGTCTTTACATTAAGAAAATCAGCTGGGCCATGGCCGGGTTCTCACCAACTGGATGGAGCATTTCCCGAGGTTTCACGGTGATGGACAAACCTGCCCAGACAGAGAAATCCCTGAGTACAGACTAGTAGATGAAACAAGTGCATCTTTGCCCAACGTTCCAGTTTTCTCTTCAGAGCGATGGTTTTTCCAGTTTAAAATGACTAGAAGAGTGCAGTGGAGGTGGAGTGGGTATGCCATCCAGTTCAAAAGCAGGGAGGCTGAGAAACAGCTGAAGTCAGACGGGCCTTCCATCATCGATGGTCCCAGTTCTAACACTCAGGCCTTCAGTGTCCTCCTCAGGCACCGAGCAAATTTGAAAATGTTTCTAATGGAGGAACTGGGAGCTTTAGCATAAAAACTTGCCCATTTTGGGGGGCACATCCTTGTTACGGCCAGGTGTGATCTTATGGTAAAATGTTAAAAGTACCTTTTGAATATTCTGCAAAAATATTCTGAGTTTTTAAGTTCTCGCCTCACCTTCCACCTCTCCAACTTTGTCAAAACAAACAAACAAAAAATGCTGATTGGTTTAGAGGTTGTTTGTACAATGTAACTGAATGAATAATGCTTCATAGACAAATGGTACTCTGATGAAGTGATGGGGGAAATTGTGTTATCAATGACCAACTTGCCTTCCCGCAGGCCCGCTGGAAGTAGTGCTGCCTCATGAGTGGACAGCCCTAGGAAAATGATCTGCATTCAAATACTAGAAAGCCAGCACATTTTTCTTCTCCTGGCTCACCAGAAGGAAGGTAATAAATAACTCAGGACCAAGCGATACTCCTTTTATTGCCATGCATATTAGAGGTTGAAGGGTGCTGATTCAAAACAATGCTGTGCAACGCCAAGTTCTGGAATTCGTTTCTAGCTGTAGGACATCGTCGTATTACGAGGGAAGCCATTTTCCTACCTCAGGCACCATGAAGCAAGCAATGGGTGAAAATGACTGAATGGGTTAAACACTGGTGAAGAAAGAGGAAAAGGACTTAGTAGTGAATGGTTGCTCATCAGAGCAGAGAGGGTAGAGTTAGGAGAGGTGGCCTTTAAGTACATTCATTAATAATTTGAGGAAGGAAGTGAAGTGCAAGTTTGTGCATGATGCAATATTGTTCCAGTTACTAAACATCGTGAAGAAATGAGAGGAACTCTAGAGGAGTTTAAACACAATGCAAGGGCAATAAAGGGAGGGGAGGTGTAACAGCTTCTTGTAATTGTACTGTGAGTAAGTATTATTAGTCTCTATAAAATTTTATTTCCCAAATATTTTACATGAAGGAAACACTGACTCTGCTAAAGATCTCTGCAATCAGCCCAGTATCAGTAAAAGAATAATGATGTCCTTAAATGTCTATTCAAAGTCAGAGTCATTAGGAATCATTTTAGATGAAGAAAAATGGGTTTTAGTGAAACAGTATGATAATTCTGAAATGTGCAATAGGAAGGCTGCTTGAGAGGGGAAAAAAGTGAAGGGTGCACTTCATGTAAAATTGTTTTCATATCTCTAGTGACAATTTCTTAATACAGCCATGGACTTGGGGTTAAAATAGTGAAAAGGCAGAGAAATTAGGAGAAGCTGATATAGATATTGATATTTTAAAGAAGGGAACAAAACTTTAAAAACTAGCTTTTCATTTCAAATTGCAGAATATTGTTAAAGTTTCCCATTTTAACCATTTGGACGGGTATGATGCTGAATAGTAATTACAAATCAGAATTTTCAAAACAGGAAAACTTCAAGTCTGCCGGGTGGAGGAAGTAGATGAGCAACTATGATTGGATCCATTTTATTCAACAGATAGGTTTTGAGGGAGTTAAAAACATGAAGCTAGGAGAAGAGATAAACAAGCACACGGGTACATAATACCACATAGAAAGTGCTCAGGGCCCCAGAAAGGTACAGAGAAGAAGCTGTGTCGAGGAGAGAAGGAGACAGATGGCTGAGGCAAAGTTTGTCCAGGCAGGAAGAAGGTGGACACTGACGGACTCAGGCCCGAGAGAAAAGTGACTCAGTGTGGCCGGTGGTCAGAGGAGTCAGGTAGGCTGGGTTCATTTCTGACACAGGACATTTGCCTGAGGAATTTTTACTTTCCTCTGCTGTCATTTCTAGCACTCTTCATGACCTGCAGGGTAGCTTGCTGGCTGGCGGAAGGGATGAATCAAGCCATTGACGTTTTCTGGAGCTGACAAGTGACCAGCTCCAATTTTTGTTTTAGGAAGATTAACTTAAGTGGTGTGTAGGAGGATGGGAGACCTCTTAGACACGAGCATGAGGCGGTGTTTACTGAATTAATCCTACTACATGCCCAGCATTCCACTAGATACCCCCCCACACACACTATCAATCCTAAGAACAACTCTTTGGAGAAGGGGAAGTAAGAATAGCATTCCCTTTTCACTGTTAAAAATCAGGTTCAGAAAGGCTGAGTAACTTGCCCAAATGTTGCACATATAAAAGTGGTAGAATTAGGCTCCAACCCACGTCGGCCTGTCTCATAAGCTCCTGTCTTTTTAAAAACAACCAAAACAAACCCTGTAACATGTCGGTACTATTCAAATGAGGAGAATTTTAACAAGGACAATGACAGGGACTGGAAAGGAAGGGAAGGGAGAGAAGAGATTTTGGCAGAGTCAGAAGGATGTGGCAACTGAAAACATATGGTGACAAGGGATTTAAAAAAAGAGAGAGTCAAAGTTGTTAGCCCAGATAACAGAATATGGCTGTGAGCTCAGCCTTGGAAAGAAAAACGAGAAATCAAATTTTGGACTTATTGTTCGAAATGACGGCAAAACACCCACATAAGAGGAGGTAAGTTGACTTTCTCCAAAATGTGTAAAACTCATACAGAGATCACTGGCAACACACCCCAAACTGGAAGTGTCACCCTTCGGCA